ATGGTAGCAGGTGCCTGTAATCCCAGCTAATCAGGAGGCTGAGGCAGGAGAATCGCTTGAACCCAGGAGGCAGAGATTGCAGTGAGCTGAGATCACACCACTGGACTCTAGCCTGGGGACAGAGCGAGACTCCGTCTCAAAAAAAAAAAGAAAAAAAAGCCCACGCCCCAAACTCCTTGGGGAGATGGATTTGAGTTTCCTCCTGTCTTCTTGTTTGGTGGCCCCACGATAATACCTCTTTCTCTGAGCAGCTGGAGGTCTTGGTGTATGAACTTGATGCCTGTGTTGGGTGATGGACCTATTACAGTTTCAGCATGAACCCCTGAATTATAGCCAGTGGGTCAGAGGTGCAGGCGGCCAGGCCTTGCAACCAACATCTGAAGTTGTGGGGGTCTTGTGGGAATGAGTCCTTAACCTGTGGGGTCTGTGCTAACTCCAGGTAGACAGTATTAGAATTGAATGTAGGATATCCAGCTGGTGTCTGGAGAATCAGAGAATTGATTGTTGGCATTGAGAAAACACTCCAGACACCATGAAAGTAGGAGAGAGAGACAGATGAAAGTTTAAAGTCCAAACGTGAGTTAAAGAGAAATAATAAAAACTGCTGGCCAATGCAGTCTTCTCACTTGGTTCATGGGTAAGACAGAAAGGACTGTGACATAGACATCAGCAGCGTTTCTTCAGGTGTGATCCTAGGAACAATGGCATGGGGATCGCCTGAAGTGCTCGTTAGACCCTGACGAAGCTTCTCTCCCTCGCCGATCTTAAGTAGGCACCTCTGAACTCTCTTCTCCACGAGGCTCTGACTTCTGGACTTCTTTGTTCACCTTTGCATTGTCCAATTATAGCCAGAAGCCTGCTAAGTCAGTTTAGCCAGAACGCCCCAACCTTGACATCCGATTGGGTTCCTCGTCCTCCACCAACCCCCAGGTGATGTCTGATCACTCTGGCCTGCCTTCAGCAAGAAGCCTGTTAAGAGTCGATTTAGCTGGAATCCCCCTGTATCCCTGAAGTCCCCTGGGATCCTCCCACCACCCCCACCAACTCCTCAGCTATAAATTCCCACTCTTCCTTGTCGTATTTGGAGTAGAGCCTAATTTCTTGCCCTGAATGACTGCAAAACCCCATCGTGGCATTCTCTACAGCTATCGCAATCCTCCCCCTGAACAATGTCTGCCTTATCCTTCTTTATCAAGTGCCACGTACACTTTTTTTCTTTAACAACATGAAGATTCCTGAATCTCCGCATCTCTTTCACAACATGAAGATCCAGAATCCCAGAGTATGAAGACCTGGCATTGTCATTTTTAACATGATGACAATGATGTATGTTAAAGTTTGAGAACTATGGCCTGTCAAAATGAAGAGTTGCAGCCACGTGTGGTGGCCCACACCTGTAATCCCAGCACTTTGGGAGGCAGGAGGTTATCGTGAACTAGGAGTTTGAAACTAGCTTGGACCAACATAGCAAGATCCTGTCTCTACAAAAAATTTTACAAAACTGGCAGGGTGTGGTAGCACACACTTGTGGTGCCAGCTACTTGGGAGGCTAAGGTGGGAGGATAAGTTGAGTTTGGGAGGTTGAGGCTACAGTCATCTGTGATTGCACTCCTGCATTCTAGCCTGGGCAACAGCAAGACTCTGTCTCAAAAAAAAAGTAGAGTTGTGAACAGTCTCTACATACTCAAAGTGCCTTTTACTTTTTTTTTTTTTGAGATGGAGTCTCACTCTATTGCCCAGGCTGGAATGCAATGGCACAATGTTGGCTCACTGCAACCTCTGCCTCCGGGTTCAAGTGATTCTCCTGCTTCAGCCTCCTGAGTAGCTGGGACTACAGGCACCTGCCACCACGCCCGGCTAATTTTTGTATTTTAGAAGAGGTGGGGTTTCACCATGTTGGCCAGGCTGGTCTCGAACTCCTGACCTCATGATCCTCCTGCCTCGGCCTCTCAAAGTGCTGGGATTGCGGGCGTGAGCCAGTGTGCCCAGCTGCCTTTTACTTTTATATACAATATTAGAGCTGAAAGGGCCTGAGTCTTCAAATGTGGACAACAGAAGTTGTAATTTGGCCAAGATCACTTGATCAGTGGCCTAACAGGCTGCAATCCAAATATCCTAGGCCACACACCCACATGCGTACTGCATTTGACTTGAATCTGTTATCCATTATTTCTTAATCGTCTATGCAATGGACCCACAGACTTTCACACGTGAACATTCATTTTTTCTTGCTCTGGATCAACTGAAATTCACACAAATCTGAAAAGAAATGAATTAACCTGGAGTGTTTATTTTATCTATGGAAAGTTCTGACATCTCACTGATAATGATGACACAATAATCGGCACAATGAACATGTTTTGTAAAAGGGTTTCTAAGGCACAGTTCAGTGCCATTTCTAGTCATGGCTGCTTCTCACTGCCTGAGTCTCACCAAGGAGGGAAATTTTTTGAGTTCAAGTTTATTTCAAGTGGTAAGTGAAATTTTATTTTAGTGGATTAGAGTATTGCTTCCCGAATGCGGTTTCAACCTGCAAAAGGTTAGATCCTGAGGAATGTGTGGGTGTGTGCATGTGTGATAAGCCTTTCCTTGGAAGTATTATCCTTTTTTTTTTTTTTTCTTTTTGAGACGGAGTCTCGCTCCATCTGTCACCCAGGCTGGAGTGCAGTGGTACGATGTCAGCTCACTGCAAGCTCTGCCTCCCAGGTTCACACCATTCTCCTGCCTCAGCCTCTCATGTAGCTGGGACTACAGGCGCCCACCACTACGCCTGGCTAATTTTTTGTATTTTTAGTAGAGACGGGGTTTCACCATGTTAGCCAGATTGGTCTCGATCTCCTGACCTCATGATCTGCCCACCTCAGCCTCCCAAAGTGCTGGGATTACAGGCATGAGCCACTGCGCCTGGCGTATTATCCTTTAATTTGGGATTATGTCTCTACTTATTTTGGGGTTGAGAGGAAAATGAGGAGGTGGGAGTTAAAATGTCTTTCTTGTTATGAATAATGGGTGACTGCTTTAAAAATGTTATCTGGCAAAAATGAACAATGGACTTTTTTCAAATCCATAAAATCAAAAGTTTGTAAACACAACTAAGTTATATCACATTATCTTTTTTTTTTGAGATGGAGTCTCACTTTGTTGCCCAGGCTAGAGTGCAGTGGTGTGATCTCGGCTCACTGCAAACTCTGCCTACCGGGTTCAAGCGATTCTCCTGCCTCAGGCTCTTCAGTAGCTGGGATTACACGTGCCCACCACCACGCCCAGCTAATTTTTGTATTTTTAGTAGAGACAGGGTTTTACCATGTTGGCCAGGCTGTCTCAAACTCCTGACCTTGCTATCCACCCGCCTCAGTCTTCCAAAGTGTTGGGATTATAGGCGTGAGCCACTGCCCCTGGCAACATCATTTTATTACTATGTTCCCACATACTGAATCTCATTTTAGCATAAAATCAAAGTCCATACAGAAGAGCACACACCCAACATCGTCACCCTTAGTTCACATCATTTCTATAATGGTCTCTTGATGCCCCTTCATTCTTCTTAGCCCCACCATTTTCATGACCAAACGTGTGCCCCTCCAATTCAGACAACCTGTTTCTGACCACAGCCCCCATCATTTAGTGTTAGTGTTCCACTCCTCCCACAACAGTGGATCTTCACGTCCATCAGCGCTATCGGATCATGGATCACATGTCTTATTCCCTATTAGTCCCTTCTTTTCATTTCTCTGTCTATCCAGCTTAGAGTCCATGGTTCATCAATTCAGAAAATCATTTTGCAGTACTCCAAAATCTGTGGCTCCTCTGTCTTTTTAAAATCAGTGTGGGCAAAAGCCCAAAGTTGGACAAAGTCAACACATGTGATATCCATGGCAGCACCCAAACAGCCGAGTGTCACCGGGTAGATTCACACAGCCGCACAGCCTGGAACCACTGCACATTTGTAATCGTTGGTTTCAACTGGGCCCCTACACATGGCCCAGCGACCTTACTAATCTCTGGTCAACTCCCATTTGTGACAATGATTGTTTCAAGCCTGCCTTACTCTTCTAGCCCTCGATCTATCATCTCCCTAACTTTGAACAGAGTTCTGTCTTCTGCTTCATAGAAAATATAAGTTACACTAAGGGAACTTCCTGCCACAAAACTACAAATTTAACTTCACACCAGCCCATAAAAAAAAAAAAAAAAAGGTTCTTTGCCTCTTCACACCCCACCCCCAGCTATGCTAGAATTTACTGCTTGGGGTTCTTAGGAACCCTGTACTGTCAGTTACCTTTCCCTCTAGTATTTTGTCTTAATATCCTAACTGGATCCCCACCATCTGCATTAAACCTATTCAAATCTCTCACTTAAAAACAAAACCCCCAAGTCTTTCAACTCACCTTCTCCTCCAGCTCCTTCCCTCTCTCCTGTGTGGAAGCTCCAGTGTATCTAACCTGTCTCCTTCATTATCTGGGGAAACCAGCCCCTGATATTTCATGTAGGTTCTTTTCTATTTCCCTAAGTGTCAGCCGGTCTGAGAAATAAAGGGAAAGAATACAAAAGAGAGAAATTTTAAAGCTGGGTTTAAAGAGGAATTGACAGCAAATTCCTCTGTCAAAATCCCAGCACCCAGAGAAGGCCATCAGTAAATATCAGCGGCTTGTTGTACAACCTCTTAGGTTGTTCTTCCCATTAGACACATTTAAAATTTATCTTGTGGAAAAAGTTTCAAATTCACAAATATGGTCACATTTAAGGCCTGAGATCTATGCAAACAAAGTATCTTCCTGGCATTGTGGTCATTTCAGGGTCAGGACCTTCTGCGAGGACTTGGGAAGTATAAGTGATCTGTCGGCCCTGTTCAGTAACTGCCACCACCTCAAAAACTAGGCTAGAGTTCTGGTGCTTCCTCTTTGACTCTTCCAAATCATGCTTCTGATTAAAAACATGTTAACTTCCAATCAGTAGCACAACATCAAAAACAACAGCAACAAAAAACTCAAACACATTGGTAATTTTAAGTTTGAATGTGTATTTTGAAAATGGAAAATAACAAATTTGTACAAAATTGTCACACAGGAACACACTTTAATAAGATACCATTACATGCTATGTGGATTTAGAAAAGTTACAGATCTAGTAAGAAAAAAAAACAGTCATTGACAAATGCAAGTTCATTTTTTGAGCAACAAGAAATCTCCCGTGAAATGTCAGACTGGAAGCCAGTGAGACTTGGTGAGTGACGGCTCAGCACCTGTGAGGCCTGAAGCTTGCCTCCCAGGCTGGGTGCTCAGCTCTGGCCTGCGGCTGGATACCGTTTAGAGTCCTATGTGGTCTTTTTCTTTCAGTAAACAGTATAAAACATACTATTTTCCTTTGATTGTAAACTTCAACAGAAAATAACATGCTTAAGAATTGTGCTACAAAGAGTACTATGATTTTTTTTATTGTAACTCACCACATTTAGAACATTTCCACTTCACAAGTTTCTGATTTGCTTCACTTTCTTACTTGGCAATGGTGCCCTGACGGCATCGTCCACACACACCAGTGTGTATGGAGAAGCGGGCTGCAGGCCCTTCCTGAAACCATGCTCCATGGCTCTGCCTTCACGGAACAGGCCGAGTCCTGTCTCTGCTCAAGATCAAACCATCTGCTCGCAAGTTAGAGGCAGCTCAGCCTATCCATTTATTGCTTTCCTTATATTCCATTTTTTATTATTTAAGTTGTATTTTCATATGTCCCTATAGAATTTACTCACATTACCTGGCTAATAATCAACAGTTTGGGCTTTTTATATAACAGCTCTTCAGATAGACTGCTGGTATGTGAAGCTCACCTGATCTGCATAGGAACAAATCAGAAGGTATTTTTGCTGGTAGATCAGCTGCACTGTAGCACCTTACAGTTAAAACTCCACCCTCTAGGAATGTTATGTTTTAGTCTTAAAAGAGTCAAGTTTGTTCACGCTTCCTCTCACATAAAATACTTAGTTTCTTTCTTAATATTAAACATTATTATTATTATTATTTTTTACAACAAAAGTATTCAGGACAGACATCGCAAAACCATAATCCCAGATAAATGGTCTAAAAATGCAGTTAGGTCACCTTTGTATATCAATGCTAAACAAAAGGTTTGAGCCTTTGACCATGCCCATAGATGCCTAAGTTCTTCCACATCATCATTTCTATAGTTTGACAAAACTAGAATACACAGTCTTAAGTGGGGGGAATATCATAAAAATTCATTACTTCAATGTTTAACTTTTTCACGATTACTTGAAAATTCATAGCACAGCATCACTGCAACTTGCTAATCATGAAAGCTGTAAATTAACAATCACTGCCTCTCATAATGACTGCACCAGTATCCATTTTTATTTATTCCTAATTTAATTCAATTGCAACTACCTGGCTGTAAGTTTGAGGTAGCTTCACAGTGGTTCCACCTGATGGAAGGAGTATGACTTAAAGTACCCTCTGCGGCATGAGACTAGGTCAAAATGAGAGGGAAATAAGTACCAAATATATCGTCTTCTCGCTTGGCATACAAGCTGAAAAAAAACCACCAACCAACCATTTCTTTAGTGATAAAAATACAGTTCTTTTGTGAGCATGGAAACAATACATGGAATCTGTTTCTTTGCATGAAAAGTAGCATCAAGGGAAAAGGACTCAAATTCTGTTGCTACCTTCCGGTTAACCCGGGTAAGAATGTGCATAAATTCAAGCTTGTCGGCGTACTGTTTCAGCATGGCACAAAGCGACTGGATGAACCAGGAGCCATCCTTTGAATTTCGCCAAGAATAATAACCTAAAAGGCAAAATACAATGAAAATACCATGGATAGCTGATTTTAGTTGATTCTATAAATTATTATGTAGTCATAAAGGCAAGAATAAGCATAAACCCACAAGTCTTATTAGCCAGACAAAGAAAAAAAAAGACACCTTTGGTTTCAGAAGAAATGATCCTGAAGAAGGAAGAATGTGTGCTATGCGTACACCCCCTGCTTTCAGCAAAGACAGGGGCCGGGACCAGCTTCACGAACACTGAATTATTCAAAGTTTTACTTTTTGGACTCCCCTTTCAATAGGCAAGAACAGCAAACACGCAGAAGATGCAAAAGTAAAGATGTATAAAAAGGATCATTGTAAGTAGCGCAGTGTTCCAATCAGATTTCACCTTACTTTAATACTGACTTAGTCTAGAAATAAATTGCTTTGAGTGTCCTGCTTGTCTACAGAGCATCTGAGTAAAGTATAATGAACACACTACCGAGTATTCAAAAGCTCTAAAAAGGGAAAATAGTGTATTTATCATACTTTGTTTTCTAGGTTAAATGTTAGACCCATTGCTTTTAACCTAGAGGTACTTTGCTTGGAAAGATGCCTAGAGGATAAAATAAACCATATTGAGCATATTTTAAAATGCCACACTGCTTAAGAATAAATTTACTTTAAGTTTCCAAACTCTGACACCCTGAGTTAGTTGTGTAAGTAAATAGTGGTATAATCCACAAATATTTAGACGATGTGCAGCGGAACTGTAAAAAAGTGGAGGTTAACGGCATATTCATGTATCATTTTTTACCTTATTTTCTCCCACTCCACATCTATCCTCTTGTATACTAGTCATGTTTATCTTTTTTATTTACTACCTTTCAAATAATTCCTGAGAAACATACCTCTCTTCTTCTATAAGATGCAGTGGAAGCTCTGACTTGGCCTCTGTTGCCACAAAGTCCAATGAATGACATCGTGCTAGTCTATGTCTGCATATTTTTTGTTTCTTTTTTTGAGATGGAGTCTCGCTCTGTCGCCCAGGCTGGAGTACAGTTGTGCAATCTCGGCTCACTGCAACCTTTGCCTCCCAGGTTCAAGCAATTCTCCTGCCTCAGCCTCCCAAGTAGCTGAGATTACAGGCGTGCCACCACACCCAGCTAATTTTTTTGTATTTTTAGTAGAGATGAGGTTTCACCATGTTGGCCAGGCTGGTTTTGAACTCCTGACCTCAAGTGATCTGCCTGCCTTGGCCTCCCAAAGCACTAGGATTACAGGCGTGAGCCACCGCGCCTGGCTATGTATGCATATTTTCTAGCCAAACTTTTGGCTAAAGATAACTTTTTGAGACTTCTCTTTGATGAAGGTTCCCTAAAATATAAACAAGTTTTGATATCTTTAGGGATATCAAAATCTTGACAGTCTCTGAAACACACTCTTCATTGTATAATTCTGATTAGTCACAGTGTAATTCATTTAAAATCCACATGTAACATTCCTTATGTGTAACTTTCTCACCAGGTGCTGTGGAGTATGCATACAAGAAGTCGGCCTCCACTGGGATTTTATGACACGCCATGTCATCCTCAACACCACTGTCTGTCTCAATACCACAGTCCAGTTCTGTACCACGGCAGGCCTGGGTGTTAGAAAATAAATATTTATTCATAAAAATTTGCGTGTGAACATGTAACTTATTCCTAAAAACGTTATGTAAAAATGGATGTTAATTATGCTGAGCCTTTTTGATATAAGTATAAAATTAAAATTTACTCTGTATCTTTTAAGTGGTAGTTTAAATAAATGAAAAATAACAATAGTTCATTAACTTCAGGAAAAAAACTACAAATCCTTTGGATAATTTACAATTGAGAAAAGTAACCCCTGCTTAATCGTCAACAACCAAATTACTCAGTTATACATTACCTGAATAATGAAAAGTTTGGGTTTTCCAGTTAGACTTCTACAACAATCCCCTCTGAAAAAGCTTGTAATTTTTTTCAGGTCAAGAGGTCCATTTGTTCCAAAAATTATTCCTTCTTCACCATGGCTCAGAAGCACACAAACAAAACTGCTCCTTTTGCTGTGATCTTCTTTAGAAACTGGAAAGACATTTGCAAATAAAAGGAAAAATAAAAATCCATGACTTTATTCAACAACTTCAGATATACTGTATGGGAACATGATGAAGAAACAGAGAATAAAACTGAGAGATCATCTTAATCTAACCTGGGGCACAGAATATCTGGAAGTAAATTTCCAAATATGCATAAAGCAAAAGTAAACAAGATGGGGCACAGCAATACATCTCAAACCATTTTATGAAGTTGGCATAAATAACTTTTTTTTAACTTCTTACTAAAGCATGTAAGATTAGGGTTATGTACAGTATAATTCCATAATTCTCATATTTTATTATACACGTAATTATTGCTAGACCATAATATAAAATTGTACAATGAAGTTCACTCTTCTAATTGTTTCTTCTTACCATTACGCATCAATTCCACAATTTCTTCACGTGTAAGATCGTTTTTATTCCTGACTTCATATTTCAAGTTTATGAATGTTTCCCTGAGGTTTGCTGCATCAACATCTGTACCAGACCGAGATGCCATTCCTTGGAACAGAAAGAATTACTTTTAATTGTACTGAAAACAAAGAATAACTACTTTGAAATGAAATTAACTACCCAGCAATTCAAAAGTCCACAATAAATTCTTCCTTTTAAATGGTAAGAGAACTCAAACTACTTTGAGTTTGGTGACACAAAATCTCTTCAACTTTGTAGCTTATAAGATATTTCATAATATAAGCTTATCAGTGTTATAGCCAAAATGATCTTTCACAGCTGTTTAGGCAGATGAAAAACAGAAGCAAATGTCTAACACTAGGGGCTTGGTTAGACAAGTTACACTCACTTATATAATGGGATATACTATGTTGTCATTTTCACAGATAAAATGTTGCCATGGGAAAATCATCATATTAAAAAAAAATAAAACTAGAAAACAATATGATCCTATAATACACACACACATCTGTCATACTCAGAGGAACTGCATGTCTCTGATTCTAACTTCCCAACAATTTTAAGATAGCATTACAACATTTACAGTGTCTTCAAGGAAAACCCCCAGACACTATTACAGTTCATCAGGTATTCTGCTACGGGCAATCTCTATCCTTCCAATCCCCATGAGAGTTGTATTATTACTAGCTTCACTTGTGCAGATGTGGGACATGTAGCAGGGTTAACAAACCAGTCTAAAGTGACAAAGCTATGCTGGGCCTGTAGCCAGGGCTCCTGGGCTTTCTACTACTCCATTAGAGAACCTTCCACATTAACGTACAGATTGACTGTGTGATGCATTCAGATTTCAAAACGCTCAATCTTGGTGGGAAACACCCCTCAGAATTGAGTAAATTTGATGGGTATGAAGACTAAATACAAAAAGTCTACACATATCTCTAAAATGTTGTTGATTATCTCAGCTGTGTGATAAGGTCACTGGCTTCTGGTGCTGTGTTGGCTGCCTTTTCATTTTTTATTTTATTTATTTTTTAGACAGGATCTCGCTCTGTGGCCCAGGCTAGAGTACAGCAACCACAGCTCACTGCAGCCTCAACCTCCCGGATTCAAGCTATCTTCCCACCTCAGCCTCCTGAGTGGCTGGGACTATGGGTGCACACCACCACATCCTACTACCTTTTTTTCTATTTTGTACAGATGGGATTTCCCTATGTTGCCAGACTGATTTTGAACTTTGGTGCTCAAGGATCTTCCCGCCTTGGCCTCCCAAAGTGTTGGGATTAGAGGGATTAGAGGCGTGAGCCACGGCGCCTGGCCCAACACCAGCCTGCCAGAGATCTCATGAGAACCCAACCTTTACATTGCAAAATAGGAAAGGAGCTCACTGAGGGCAAAACCCAGACTGCTGGTCTAAATATGTGGGGGAGGTGCTGGTGGTAGTGGAATGATATGCTTGTTTTTGGTTTTTTAAACAATAGAGCCAACAGTGCAAAATTCTATAGGAAGAAGGTATCCTAAAACTAGAAATGTGAGGCAGAATATCTGGAAGTAAATTTCCAAATATGCATAAAGCAAAAGTAAACAAGGTGCTGTGTTAATGGTCGAAGGTGGCATCTCAACTTATAGCCAAAAGCAATAAAAGTGGTGCCATTTAGAGCTCCATTTTCAACTATTCTCTCCTCACTCCTTATAACTAATCTGACACAAACCCTGCTATCTTCCCAGTTGATCTGGCTTCCTTCCATTTCCACTACCACTCTGATAGGTACTGGCCCACATTAGATCTACTATAGCTTCTCTAATTAAAAATTAACTCTAATATGATTAATATGCCAATTCAAAGAATTATCACAGCATCAATTTAAAAGGGAAACAGCCATAATGTTCATTCATACAGTAAATTTTTGAAATTAAGTGAACGGTATTTTTGGGGATGCAGTATTATATAATCACGATAACAGATATGAAAATTATGCAGTCATATGAAAAATGCTATTACTTTAAGTGAAACAAGCAGAATACAACATTGCTTACATGTTATGAATAAAATCAAGCTTTAAAAAGAACTGTCAAGAAAAAATATCAATACACCAAATATTAATTAGCTTTTCTGGCATTGTGAAGGATTTTATTATCTATATTTCTGAAAAAAAATTCTCAAATGTAGTACTACATTCAAGTTGTATATAGTACAGAAGTCAAGAGGGGAATCTGGTGACAAGGCCATGGTAAGTTTAATGCGAGCAGTTTCAGCAGTAGAGATAGAAAATAGAAAAAGACTCAAGAAGGAACAGAAACAAGAGTACAGGCTTAAACTACATGTATTCAAAATTTAAGGAAGAAGGGAAGGAGATAAAATATCAAAGGAATTAAAAGGAGCAGAGTAAAAGAAAGGTCTCTCTAAGATGGGGAGCTTCGTAGGGTAAGGGAAGACAGGCAACAGAGTACATGAAGATATAAGGAAGTGAAGCAGAACAGAAGACAGATTTAGATTTTGGGCTTTGGAGCCACACAGACCTAGCTCTGCCGCCATACTGTGTGACTGTGCAAGGTTTTTCATTGTGCAAGGTTTTTCATTGTTACTTTCCAGGTTGTCATAAAATTAAATAAGGCAATGCTTGTGATATGTCTTGCAGTTTCTGGGGAACAAATAAATACTACCACTTAACTGTTTTTTGAGAACCTTACGGGTTCAAAGAGGGAGTAGAAAGAAGAAAAAGCAGCAAGGACTACAGAGAAGTCAGGGCAGAAGCAGCCAAGCATACAGATAGGAGGCCAGCTGATGGAAAAGGAGGCTGTGACGTTGAGCAGAAGAGGAAGCATTCACGTATATCACAGGACCTGTAGGTCCTGCCCAATCTCTACTTCACAACTAGTCTGTGTCACAGTTTACTGACCAATAATATTTTAGTATCAAATGTAAATGGCACAAATATTTGAAAAGGATTAAAAATTATGTAAGATACGTACCAGTGCTTTTATGAAAATTCTTATTATTAATTATTATACATAAACCCATCTCAGGATAATCCATTTTGTAACTGTTGTCCAGGGATATTCCAGAGTCCACTGATTTGCTTCCATGTATGATTTTTCTGTTTAGAAATCAAATAATAACTTCATAAAGGTAGAAATGACCACGCTTTCTGTTTACATTAGTGCAATTTTTATAACTCACAGTAACAGTTAACACTTGTTGAATGTTATAAAACAGGCTGGTTGTCTTCATTTCAATTTCACATCAACAATTATACAGATGAGAAAATGACCTGACATGAGGCTAAGAAATGTGCTAAAGAAGGAAGGAAAGTATCTGTTGGACTTCAAAGTTCAGGGTTTTTTTTTTTTTTTTTTT